GCCGTCAGGTCTTCCTCCAAGCCGACTCCACCGCTGGGCCGCTGGGCCGTCGGGCCGCGCCCCTCACCGCCCAGGCCGCGACCGGGCCGTCAGGTCCTCCTCCGGCCGAAAATCGGGCCGGAACCAGGCTGAGCCCACCGCCGGGCCACCAGGCCGCGCCCTTCGCCCGACCGGTCCCCGTCAGGCCCGCGACCGGGCCGAGCCCAGGCCGAGACCGAGGAGACCGAGGAGCTCAGGCCGAGACCGGGGAGACCAGGGAGACCGGGGTGACCGGTAAGTCGTACTCCCGGCCGCCGGGGGGCCCAGCACCCCAAATCAGGGTCCAGGCAAAGCCTCCGACCCTCCGAGGCTCCCCATTCCCGCTGCCGGCTCCGCTTTCCCTACGGAGCTAACCCCAGTAGGTCCGCCATGCAGCAAACATTAGATCACAAGTCTTTCCCCTTCTGTCAATAGACTTATATAACACGTTATAGTGCTTTACAGCCCTCTCTAAGTGGTTTACAGAGTCAGCATATTGCCCCCAACCATCTGGGTCATTTTACCAACCTCGGAAGGATGCAAGGCTGAGTCAACCTTGAGCCACTGAGAATCGAACTGCTGGCAGTCGGCAGAATTAGCCTGCAATATGGCATTCTAACCACTGCACCACCACGGTTCTTTCACCTATGAAGGTGAAAAGATTGCATACTTAGCATTTCTGCAACCATGATCTCCTACTCTCTGCAGTGGCCAGAGTAGAGAAGGAACATACAGATGGTCCTTGATTTATGCCCAGTCATTTAGTGACCGTTCAAAGTTTCAATGGACCTCCCCAGGGCGACCTACAACTCAGATTCAAAGTTCTTACAGCCAGCCCTTCCCCATAGTCATGTGATTGCATTTTCAGTACTCAGCAACTGGCTCACGTTTATGTCCACTTGCAGTGTCCAGCAGTACATAACCACATTTCACTACAATTTTTACCGGCAATCGGCGTTTACTTCTGATTTCTAGCAAAAAAACCCGCCCATTACGTAGAATGAATTTGCTTATCAATGGCTGTAACAAAGATCATAAAATTGATGCAGTCACATGGTGACTGGATTAATGACTGGCACAACTTAAGATCATAATTCCGGGCTCAATGACCATCGTAAATCAAGGACTAGCTGTATATTCTTTGTAATACCAGCACAAGGCACTCTGACAGGATGTTGAAATTTGGAGAAATGAGGGAAGAGTAATAACCTTGAGCCCAAAAGCAAGACAGTAGGCAGACAATTTTGTCACTGGGAAAATGGGCAATCCATAAGGTCATCAAAACTGAAGCAGCTCACAGGTACAAGTTTTTCTTTAAGTTCCAATAAGCTGGTATAAAGCCAGAAATGAATGGGCTTCACTCCTCAAAACAGCTGATTTGATATGATGTGACAGGCTGTCAGAATCCAATTATATTTCATCTCTAGTTATCAACTATGGAAAACCCCATTTCTGCCCTCTCTGGATTCTGTCATACTACGAAGGGGAAGGGGGATGAGCAAAGGGTTTTTATGGCTCTCACTTCCTTCCTTACAACTTCAAAGGGACTGAATGTGGATCGCACCAAAAGGACTGACCATAACAATAGGGCCCATCAGCTTTCATCTACTCCTCTCTGAAGTTTCCCTTCCGCCGGCCGTGAGGAAAAGGGGGGTGGAAATGTACGCCTGGGATTGTCGCTGGAAGGACGGTGGGGTGGGTGGGCTGCTTGGGAACACTTAAAACCTTGAACGGTAGGGCTTGGGCCCCAGGTCCTGTCTAGAACGCCTGCAACCATCTTCTCTTAATAAAGATGCCTGTTGGAAGAAATATTCCAAGAGTTCTGTCTTCTTAAGATGCGAAGTGGGGTGGGTCCTTACACAGGCCTCTGAATCGATGCAAATGTAATTACAGGCTTCCTCAACCAGGGGCTGAAGCAACTTGCATAATATCAAGGAGGGAAGAGGGACTATACTGTCTAAAAGGAAAGAGAGACTATAAAATTGTAGTTATCCATTGAAAAGAAGGTCAGAAGTCATTATACTTCTTAACTGCAGTTTTTTTTCTTTCTTTTTTTTCCATTTCCTGCATTTCTTTCTCTCCTTTTTTTCTTGTAATTTGTCTTTTACTCTATGAGAAATTCTTATTTTTTTTTTTAAAAAAAGAAAAGATTAACAGTATCTATCAATTATTAACAGTGGGGGGGAGGGAATGAGGACTAATATCACAGGTTCTGTGATTTGTCCAAAGAAGCCAGAAACTTAAGATTGGTGAAATGTACCGTAATTTGTGATATCTTGATGCTGCCTTCTTAATGGACCCACCTACAGTTCTTAGAATTCCCTTCTGGGCACTTTGGATAAGGACATAATTGTGCCCTTAACCAGTGGAACAGTTTGCCATCAGAAGATGTGGGTGCTTCTTCACTGGAGGTTTTTAAGAAGAGACTGGACAGTCACTTGTCTGAAATGGTATAGGGTCTCCTGCTTGAGCAGGGGGTTGGACTAGAAGACCCCAAGGGTCCCTTCCAGCTCTATTCTGATTGATTGATTGTGCCTACCTGAGCCCACAGAGTCTTGTTGATGCAGATGGGCATAATTCCAATTTGGAGAGAATCTGAAAAACTGGGTGTCTCGTTCTCTAGCATCAGGCGTGGCAAGGTCTGTTTAACATCAACGTGGGGACTGAAGTTGATTCTGGCTTTCAAAGAACCTTGTTTAAAAAAAAGCGAAGGGGAAGACAGAAGAAAAAACCTTAACCAAATGATCATTGACTAAGAGAACTTGATAAACAAGTTAATGAATGAGTTAGCATTCAGATAAAAATTTCAAAAAACATGGGAATATATTGCTATTTATAATTGTCGTAGAGCAGTGTTTTTCAAACTTGGCACCTTCAACTCCCAGAATTCCCCAGCCAGCATCAACTCCCAGAATTCCCCAGCCATTATGTCCACACATCTTAAAGTTGACATATTTGAAAAACAGTGCCGTTGGTACGCAATTGCTTTGAAACTCATCGAATTTGGTATTCAATGCATTTTGACGTGAAAATTTTGTCCTGATACTCATTGTTTGTTTGATACTCAACCCACAAGCTAGAACTTGCTGGTGTCAGCTGCCTTGTGACTTACATTATTTCTTATGGGAAAAATATGATATTCATCGTTTTTTGTACTCATCATGCCTCTCGGAACCAATTAACGATAAGTACCAAGGTACCGCTATATAATCTGGCAAGCCATCAAGGAAGCTTATAATTTAAAAACACCAAAAAGTTAAAATTTCAGATTTGAGTTAACAATAATATTGAAATCGTATCTTTACAGATTTTCTAGAACTCAACTGAACAAGGATTAAACACAGTTCTTGTGGAAGGATATTTCACAGCTAGGACAGCTATGAAACACAACACAGGACTTGACCTGCTCCCACATTTACAATACCTTGGTAAGGCCACACTTGGAATACTGCATCCAGTTTTGGTCACCACAATGTAAAAAAGATGAGACTCTAGAAAAAGTACAGAGAAGAGCAACAAAGATGATCAGGGGACTGGAGGCTAAAACATAAGGAACGGTTGCTGGAATTGGGAATGTCTAGTTTCATGAAGAGAAGGACGAGAGGTGATATGATAGCAGCGTTCCAATATCTCAGGGGCTGCCACAAAGAAGAGGGAGGAGCCAAACTATTCTCCAAAGCACCTGAAGGCAGGACAAGAAGCAACGGATGGAAACTAACCAAAGAGAGAAGCAACCTAGAACTAAGGAGAAATTTCCTGACAGTTAGTACAATTAATCAGTGGAACAACCTGCGTCCAGAAGCTGTGAATGCTCCAACACTGGAAGTTTTTAAGAAGAGACTGGACAGCCATTTGTCTGAAATGGTATAGGCTTTCCTGCCTGAGCAGGGGGCTGGACTAGAAGACCTCCAAGGTCCTTTCCAACTTTATTTTTTTTATTATTATTATTATTATTATTATTATTATTATTGTTGTTGTTGTTGTTGTTGTTGTTGTTGTTGTTGTTGTTGTTGTTGTTGTTGTTGTTGTTATATCAGGAAGACGGGCTTCGGACCAGGGAGGAATTCTCAAATAAGCCTCTCCCGTTAATCTTAACGCCTAGATGAGTACAAAATCAGACAGTCCCTTAAATAGCCAGGCCCTAACCATGAAGGACTTTAAACATTAGTGCCAATATCTTATATTGTATTATGGAAAGTTCTAGTCCCACTTCAGACACAAAGCCAGCTAAGTGGCCTTGGGCCACTCACTTTCTCTCAGTCCAACCACCTCACATGGTTGCTGTGGGGAACTTAGTAGTAGGAAGTGATGGCTATGGCTCACAGAAGGAGTATTAAGTATATGAGTTATATATACAAATAATAAAGGTGGAATACAAATAAACAAGCATGGGAGAAGAGCCATTTCACAATACCCATGTATCTCTATGCAATATGCATCACAATTCCTCTTTTACCATTAACAAGTGTGAAGTCTCTTTTGAGTCAAGTTTAGCTTCTGGCGATTTTGTGGACTCATTCATGTAGTTTTCTTGGCAGCAAGAAGTGATCTGCCATTGCCTCCTCCCACGTTGTCTACTCTATACCCTTGGTCTCTATCCTGGTGGTTTCCCATACAATTAATAACCAGCCCTGCTTAGCTTCTGAAACCAGACAAGATTGGCTAGAAGCTGTCAGCTGCTATGATTCCACAAGTAACAATTGCAGATAACAACCATCTCAGCTCACATATGTTCCAAGTCAATATGAAACTACCACTGTGCCACAGGCCAAGCCATGCCCCAAAGCAGTGGTGGGATTCAAATATGTGAACAACCGGTTCTCTGTGTGATGCCGCTTCCGTAGCTCCATTCTGGGCTTGGGCAACAAAAAATTAGCTACTGGTTCTGCCGAAGTGGTGCAAACTGGCTGAATCCCACCATTGCCCCAAAGGTATTTTTAATTACTTTTATTGATTTTATCCTAGATCATTTACATACACACACAAGCACAGAAACAGATAGATAGATAGATAGATAGATAGATAGATAGATAGATAGATAGATAGATAGATAGATAGATAGATAGATAGATAGATAGATAGATAGATACCGTATATACTCGAGTATAAGTCGACCCGAATATAAGCCGAGGGACCTAATTTTACCACAAAGAACTGGGAAAAAATGGTGACTCGAGTATAAGCCTAGGGTGGGAAATGAGGCAGCTACTGGTAAATGTAAAACAGCAGAGCATATCGAGCAGTTGTTTTTCAACTGAAAGCAGAATCCTGCAGGAGAAGACATTAGCAACACTTGTAAGATGGAAACTGGGGCTGGGCTTAGTGTTAAGTTTGTGGCACAGTACTTAATGAAAACAATGTGCGCAGCAGCTGCGGATCCGACCATCCTTAAGATTTAGTCCCCGAAGTATGCATAAGGTGTATAACCAGGTTGTTATGTGAGATTGTATTCGGATTAACATCTCACCGAACAACGTAGCACTTTTTAGAGCAAGCAGCAGTCCCGACAGAGTCCCGGAATGAGAGTTTAAAGATCACATACGCCGCCATGGGGGGGCGGGGGCGGTGTAGTGAGAATACAGAAAAACAGCCAAATAGTTCATGAGGCCTCTTCTCTTCAAATGAAGCCATATTTAAGTTTTTTAAAAAGGGGGGGGGAACGATGACTTCTCAACCAACCGGCCCTCCAAGAATACACATGGCCACAAAAAGTTCATGGGAAGTTACCTTGAAACGAGATTCTCCCGACCCGTAGACTACTTGAATGTGGAGGAAAAAAAAAGTGTTGGCCAAGTGCTTGGCCGGTGACCCATTCAGACTCCGAGGGAACCGCAGGAGGCCAGCAGAGATTCCCCTCTTGCTCGGAACAACCCCGGAGTCGGGAAAGGGGCAGAGAGAAAAGGGAAAGGGAGCTTCCGCGCCCACTGCCTCGCAACTTTTCGCGACCGCATCAGGGCGGCAAAGGCGAGAGGGAAAGAGTCAACCTGGCCCCCCTTCCGGGCCCAGACCTTCCCGACGCAACGCGCACCTCCCCCGGGCCGTGGGAACTTGCGTGGAGAGCGGCACTAGCGCCGCCAGCGCGCAGAGTTGGCGCTCCTACTGCAGTGGCGCGGCGGCGGCCACGGCGGCTCCAGCCCGGGCATCAGAGGGAAGCGCTCGCCGCTTGCTCCCCCTCCCCTGCACTGCGCTCCGCCTGCTTGCCTGGCAGCGGCGGCGGCAGCAGCAGCTGCTTCTGCCGCCGCCACCGCTGCTGCTACCGCCCTCCCTCGCCGTCTCCTGCATCAAACTTCAGGAGCCGAAAAAAACCTTTCGGGCGGGCGGTCAGGCGGCAAAACATACCCAGCATCTACACCAGACACCGCCCTTCCAACGAGGGCATGCATCCCGCGCCCGTCTTACCTAGAGAGAGTTTTTCCAGCCCTGCGCCGCTGCCAGGGCTCGGGCAAGGCTCACCGGCGCTCCGCTCACCGCCTCATTCCAATATGGCACGGTCGGCCCAAACGCCCGCGCCCGCCGTCTCTCTCCCCGATCCCCTCCCCGGATACCCCCCACCCCTTCCCCCGTCAGCCCAGGGCCAGGCACTGCAGCTCCGCATCAGGAGGGAACCCTCCGAACCTTCGGTTTTCCCGGCTTGCCAACTAGGCTTGCAAACTCGGCTCCTGCCAGGGAAGCTCCTTCCCCGAAGCATGCAATTGCTCAGAGCCCGTCCAAAAAGGTGCTGCTTCCCTGGCAGGAGCCGAGTTTGCAAGCTTCGTTGGCAAGCCGGGAAAACCGAAGGTCCGGAGGATTCCCTCCTGCTTTCGGGGTTTTGCTCGCCTGCCCACCTGGGTGGAGAGCCTGCGCCTTCCCTTCTCCTACGGCCGGGGAAAGAGGGCTGGCCCCGAGCCTGTCCTGGAGGACTTTTTAGGCCCCGGATACCCCCCCACCCCNTACCCCCCCACCCCTTCCCCCGTCAGCCCAGGGCCAGGCACTGCAGCTCCGCATCAGGAGGGAACCCTCCGAACCTTCGGTTTTCCCGGCTTGCCAACTCGGCTTGCAAACTCGGCTCCTGCCAGGGAAGCTCCTTCCCCGAAGCATGCAATTGCTCAGAGCCCGTCCCTAAAGGTGCTGCTTCCCTGGCAGGAGCCGAGTTTGCAAGCCGAGTTTTCACTCGCCCACCCGCCCGGGTGGAGACCAGAGTTGGCGGCTCTAACGTCCTACTATCGTTGGCTGCAATCCTATCCACCTGTTTTGTCCAACCGATTGCAAGACGCTGGGCAGCACGAGGGACGCGGGGCCTTGGCTTGTTGCTTATGAAGACCGTGGTCAGTTCGTGCTGCCCAGCGTCTTGTTCCGCCACCGCTCAGGCCCTTTTGCCGCTGGAAACATGCCGCATTAGCTGGCACCGCAGGGGGTGGTCCCATGGCAACGCTGACAGTCCGGGCCGTGTGCAACCGGTGTCTCCGGTCCCGAGCGCGAGCCGCAGGAAATATCCGGGCCCAAGTTGTCTGCTGCAAGGACACCCCGCCCACAGCAGCACCGCCAAACTGCTTTCTATGCCGCTGGCGTCCCCGGGCTGGAGCCATGAAAGCCGGTCCAGCTGGTCATCGGGGTGCAGAACCGGGCCGCGGAGGCCAAGCCTTGCTCACCAGCAAAACTGGAGCTTCCCACGCCGACTGGTAGGTCTTCCGTGCCGCTCCGCTCGGACCGCCGGCTTCTTGCTACAGGGCTGTCTCCCTCCGGAGCTGTCTTTCCCCCCCCCTCCCGTCTATGTCGACCCCATGGCGAACAGCGTCCCACAAACCAAAGTTGAACCAAACAATTCAAACTTCTTTCGTGAGAAGTTTGAATTAATTGGCTCAACTTTTTTAGTCCTATTTTGGGGGGGGGCACTGCACGTGGCTGGGAGCTGCAGGAGACAGCTGAAAGAGCCGCATGTGGCTCCGGAGCCACGTGTCGACTTTTAGTGATTGCATAGATTCCCCCCCCCCAAAAAAAGAACTACAGTACTCACTTTCCTTAGTTCTCGAGACGCTGACTCGAGTATAAGCCGAGGGGGGCATTTTTCAGCACAAAAAATGTGCTGAAAAACTCGGCTTATACTTGAGTATATACGGTAGATAGATAGATAGATAGATAGATAGATAGAATAATAATAATAATAATAATAATAATAATAATAATAATAATAATAATAATAATAATAATAATAATAATAATAATAATAATAATAATAATAATAATAATAATAATAATAATAATAATATAAAAAAAGTTGGAAGGGACCTTGTAGGTCATCTAGTCCAACCCCCTGCTCAGGTAGGAAACCCTTTACCATTTCAGACAAATGGCTGTCCAGTCTCTTCTTAAAAACTTCCAGTGTTGGAGCATTCACCGCTTCTGGAGGCAGGTTGTTCCACTGGTTAATTGTTCTAACTGTCAGGAAGTTTCTCCTTAGTTCTAGGTTGCTTCTCTCCTTGATTAGTTTCCATCCATTGCTTCTTGTCCTGCCTTCAGGCGCTTTGGAGAATAGCTTGATAGATAGATAGATAGATAGATAGAGAGAGTGAGAGAGAGAGAGAGAGAGAGAGAGAGAGAGAGAGAGAGAGAGAGAGAGAGAGAGAGAGAGAGAGAGAGAGAGAGAGAGAGAGAGAGAGAGAGAGAGAGAGAGAGAAGCTCTCCTAAGCTGATGGATATTTTATTAATTTCTTGTGTGCCCAATCACACTTGGCCAATAAAGTATATTCTATTCTTGTCAACCGTCCCACTGCATTAGACAGCAAAAGAAACTCCTGATATATTTTTTTCTCCAAGAGTATAACTTTACTGAAAAGCCATATGGGAACAGAAGTGGAAAAGGCAGTTCTGATGTTTTCGCATGCAAACAGTATAGGAAACCTTTTCCTTTTCCCCTCCTGGACCTCCGATGTCCCATTGTCCATCAATCCGTTGTACTTGCTTTATTCTGGAAACAGCCTGTGTGCCTTGGACATTCCCAGTCGATGACCTTGGGGCCTGGGTCTGTCTCAGGTTTCCAGGCAGCACACTTGCATTCCGGAGTTACCTCCCAAATCTCCCTTACATTCCAATGCCTTCCTCCCCCCCTCCCATTACTGTTGTCTGTTGGGAGTAGAGCTGCATAGGAAGTCAACCATGACAATTCTATTCTATTCTATTCTATTCTATTCTATTCTATTCTATTCTATTCTATTCTATTCCTATATTATCAGTGCACTTTGCACATACACCCTATACCATGAGGGTTAATGCATTTATAAGTTTTCACAAGGGGCCACATGAGAAACTGGGACTGTTATGGAGGGCTGAACCAATAGGGCTGTGAAAGTGCTCAGGCATGCACACGCTCACATACATAAATTGAAAAAAAAACCAGCAGTTGCCTTCAAAATAAAACCAATCTTCATGGTTAGGACAGGGACAGCCAAAGGGACAGATGTGGCCTGGAGGTCACAAAATGCCCAGGTTTGGTCCATGCCCATTTCCACCCCACTAATCCCTACCGAAGCACCACTGCACTTCCAAGCGCTCCAATGGCTAAGTTGGTCAGCTCATCCCTGCTCAGATCCAACCTTCCTTGGATGGATTGTCCAAAAAACTGGAGCACGGGAGAAACAGAGGTGGCAGAAATCCGCTGCAGGGAAGAAGGAAGTAAAAAAGAGATCAAGACTGGAGCACATCAGTACACGTAGAGAAACTTCAGACTGCTATTCTTACCTTTCTTATTTTTAACATTTGGATTTACCTGGCTGTGCACTTCCTTCAGTCGGTCTGCTTCACCCAGGAAGATATAGATGGCCCCCCGATTTTCATCCTCCATCGGGGCTCCTATGACCACGTCCGTAAGGCCATCGCCACTGATATCCCCTAATGTGGCTAGAGCTACCCCAAAAAGGCCAAGTCCATTATCCAGGACTCCATGCAACATTTGAAGGTGAACAAGATTACCCTGGAATGAAGCATGTGAGTTACATTAGTTAGTGTACTTTTACTTTGCTGCTTATTAACCACTTTCCAGGGATCTCATCCAGTTGAGCTAACCAAAGTGAAAAACAACCATACATTTCTATATTTAAGCACTCATATCAAAAAACACACTCATTAAAAGCATCTGGCCAGATGACCTAATATAATACCACAAAGCAGTAGCTGGATTAAAGTGACGTACAATAAATTCTTATTATCTGCAGTAGTTATGTTCCCAAAATTGCTGCGACTGTTGTATTAGCCAAAACCAAACCGTTGTTCCTAGGGAAAGGCAGGATTAAGTTCCTACCAGCCTCTGTTCACATATTTGTCAACTAATCCGTCCACAACTTTGTTTTATATGTGTTTTTGTTTAAAGACACTTTAATATGTGTGTATGTGTGTATTGCAAATAAAGTTCTGAAAAAGAAGCATTCAAAAGTTTTATCAAAAAGTCTTACTTTTGATAGCCATTTCAACCAGCAAATCACTGAGAGTAGCCAGACGTATGCAGAGTATTAACTCAAAATTTTCACTGCCCTGGGCATGTCTACGAATACAGCTAGTCCTCAATTTACAACGGTTCGTTTAAAGATGATTCAAAGTTATGATGGCATTAAGACAAAGTGACATGACTCATTCTCGAAGTTACAACCATCACACTATCTCCACCATCACTTGATCAGAATTTGGGCACTTGTCAACCAGTTTGCATTTACAACGGTTGTGGCGTTTTGGGGGGGAATCATGAGATTGCAATGTGATTGCAAGCAAAATCAACTGGGGAAGTTGGATTTGCTTATCTACTGCATGATTTACTTAATAACCATGACAAAAGTGGTCATAGAATCTTGTCCAGTAAACATGATGTCATGTTTAACAACTGCATCACTTAGGGACCAAAATTCCGGTCCCAAGGTGATCATAACACAAGGACTACCTGTAAATAGCAACTATGTCAGGAGGATTGAGTTTGGAGCTACAAGTTAATTTTAGCGAGTAGGCAAATTTGCACCAGTGGAACCCATAAAGGCTTGTGTATAATTTAGATTTTAAAAAAAGACTTTGGCATTTGAAGCTAAAAAATGAAAGCTGTGAAGGAGAAGCCTTGAAAATTTCATTATGATCTGCCTCCTTTGGCAGAAATATCTGGAAAAGAAAAGCCAACACAGTGCTAGGCTGCATTAACAGACGGATAGGATCAAGATCACGTGAAGTGTTAATACCACTTTACAATGCTTTGGTAAGGCCACACTTGGAATACTGCATCCAGTTTTGGTCACCACGATGTAAAAAAAGATGCTGAGACTCTAGAAAGAGTACAGAGAAGAGCAACAAAGATGATCAGGGGACTGGAGGCTAAAACATATAAGAACGGTTGCTGGAATTGGGAATGTCTAGTCTAATGAAGAGAAGGACGAGGGGGGACATGATAGCAGTGTTCCAATATCTCAGGGGCTGCCACAAAGAAGAGGGAGTCAAGCTATTCTCCAAAACACCTGAAGGCAGGACAAGAAGCAATGGATGGAAACTAACCAAAGAGAGAAGCAACCTAGGACTAAGGAGAAATTTCCTGACAGTTAGAACAATTAACCAGTGGAACAACCTGCCTCCAGAAGCTGTGAATGCTCCAACACTGGAAGTTTTTAAGAAGAGACTGGGCAGCCATTAGTCTGAAATGGTATAGGGTTTCCTGCCTGAGCAGGGGGTTGGACTAGATGACCTCCAAGGTCCCTTCCAACTTTATTATTATTATTATTAAGAGCCTGCTAAGATTACCAAGAATTTCCTCCAAACAAATGAACAGATGGAGTGAAAGACAATTCATTAAATGTGAGAAAGCTTCTCCCCAATCCTAGACTTTTCTTCCTGCCTCCAATGGTTTCACTTACCGTGCTGTTGATGGAGGAGACATGGACATTCCCACCTTGGCTTCCATTGTAGTAATGAGGAGCCCCAATTAGAAGGAGGTCAGTATTTCCATCCTCATTTAAGTCCACGGAGGCGAGTTCAGCACCAAAGTAAGAGCCCACCTGAAAAGAAGAAAACACAGTCTGTGGGATTACACAACACACAGTCTGTAGGCCCAGCATTTTGTGCATATCTAGCCATTTTAACATGACAATCCTGTTGAGACATAATGTATTTGTTTATCATATGATCTACTTGTCTATTTTTGACTGGAAACCCCTGTGACTTTTTTCTCAAAACAAAAAACAAAAGCCAATCTTATGGCTTTGACGATCAGACAAAATAGATAATGGGAAAAAAGAGAGCTTTCCTTTTTGCAACATAAAGAGGTAATTCTGTAACTGTACTTATATTTGCTGCAAAGAAAATAGAAAGCTACTTCTTTCTATGTCTTTTCTTTCTTTCTTTTTTCTGCTTTTTGCCTCTCCCCCCTTTTTTTCTTTCATTTCTTTGCTCTCTATTAATTGATGTTAGTTTTTAATCTCCTTTTCAAAAGTCTTAATAGAAAAATTATGCAAGAAAAAGGTCACAGAGCTGAACTGGCTAGTTTGTGGTTAGCCGTTTTTAAGGAAGTGCTGTGCCACAAAGAAAAGCTGCCCAGCAATCGATAGCTTGTTTAGGCAGTCTCTCCACTCTGGTGTGTATGTGTGTGTAAAGAGATTAGATACAGGACAACATAGTACTGCACTAACACCAATTTAGCTTTGACTGTTAATTGACTAGATTCTTGTGTATCATCACGATCATCACAATTGACACTTGGACTTGGCTAGTCTAAAGAAAAGAAGAAACAGGGGTGATATGATAGCCATATTCCAGTATTTGAGGGGCTGCCACCAAGAAGAGGGGGTCACATTATTCACCAAAGCACCAGAGGGCAGGACGAGAAACAATGGTTGGAAACTGATCAAAGACAGAAGCAACCTGGAATTAAGGAGAAAGTTCCTAACAGTGAGAACAATTAACCAGTGGAACAGCTTGCCCTCAGAAATCATGGGCGCTCCATCACTGGAGATTTTTAAGAAGAGGCTAGAAAGTCACTTGTCTGAGATGGTATAGGTTCTCCTGCTTAAGCGGGGGGCTGGACTAGAAGACCTCCAAGGTCCCTTCCAGCTCTATTCTATTGTAAGCCACGAGTGGCACAAAGAGCCATGGAAAGATACAGGCTCGGCATTACAAGACAAGACAGAAAGAACCGCACATGGATTAGAGAACAAACGAAAGTATACAATATCGTCAAGAGAGTAAAAGAATGGAAATGGAAATGGAAATGGGATGGTCACATAGTAAGAAGAACCGATAGCAGGTGGACCAAGCCAGCCACAGAATAGACCCCACTTAGCAAAAAGTGTCCACAAAAGAGACCTAAAACAAGATTCTTGTGCATAGGTAGCAATAATAACCTCTTCTATAATTTGAACTCAATGAATGGCTATTTGCTATTTGCGTTTGACTATCACAGAGGTTTTATTAGCTGAGGACCTGGTTATCAAAGGGAGCCTAATTCTATTATTAAGCATCTACTCAGCCACAGGAATCTAGAGATCTTCTTAACGGAGGCTTGTTATTCTGGCACTTGGGAAAAGGATGCTTTCTGCACGGCTGCCAAGCTGTACGTGCTCTCTTCCTTGGGAGAAGTGTTCAGTTACCATTATTAGAGTGGCCAAATTACATTCCTTTTGCCAAACTTTTAATAGCTAATGAATGCTTGGGTTGATTTTGATTTATGACTTCGTATTTTCGTACTGCCTTTTCCTGAGTCTTAGCCACCTAAAATGCTCATGGTTGAGTAGAAAAATGGGGTCTGTCAAATAAATTACTAAATAAAACAGATGGTTGATGTTGCATTCCAACCCTCATTAGTCCCAGCAATCAAATCCAACAGTATACAGGTAGTCCTTGACATACTATATAACTGTAACTGACCTTGAATTTTGGTTATAAGCAGTGCTTTTTTTGTAAAAAAAAAAAAAAAAAAGGTGCCGGAACTCACACATGTCATACAACCCACCTTGCCTACCCTACAAGGTTCCATCCAAAAAAGGTGCCGGAACTCCGTTCTGGGCGTTCTATGACAAAAAAAGCCCTGGTTATAAGTCATGGCAGTCATTAAATGGATCACCACAGGATCCTGCCTGATTTTATGACTTTTTTTTGCTGTGGTTGTTAAGCAAATGCAATGGTTATTAAATGAACAATAAAAATCACAATAAATATTGAATAAAAAGCCTGCTCTAAAATACCCCATATAAAACCCCTAGCAAAGCCCAATCAAAACTACGCCAGGCCGGCCGCATGGAATAGATGGGTTTTCAAGGCTCGGCGGAAGAGGCGCAGGTCCGTAGTTGTACGTAGGTCGGGGGGTAGGTCATTCCAGAAGGCAGGAGCTGCCACAGAGAAGGCTCTCCCCCTGGGGGTCGCCAGCCGGCATTGACTGGCCGACGGCACCCTAAGGAGGCCCTCTCTGTGGGAGCGGACTGGTCGAAGGGAGATATTTGGTAGGAGGCGGTCTTGCAAATACCTAGGTCCATTGCCATGGAGCGCTTTAAAAGTTGTTACTAACACCTTGAAGCGCACC